AGCAAAATTGATAGACATACCATTGGTGACCCTTGAAACATCTTTGCCTATGAGTGTCCATCCAAGTGGGGTATGAACAGCTGCAGGTTGGCCTTTATTCCCTAGTCTTCTATCTTGAATTATTAGAGCTTCATAATTATCAGCACCAATCAATAATTCTGGTTCATGATTCCCTATTTCAGGAAAATCAATACCGTTAAGATGCCGGTAACTTTGTATATCTGCCTTCGTAGGAAGTCCATCTGAAAGTATTGGAAGTGACTCAACAGCTAGAACATCTTCCAACATAAACTCGTCAGATTCCTGTAGACCCTTAACATTTAGGTGCAATCTGTAGCCGTTTTGCTTATGTAGGCCATTGACTGTGGAAATAGTGAAAGAATCTTGCTTTCCCTTTCACCTTGAGTTTCTTCATAAGACTTAGCTTACAAAGAGTTGCATTTGAGCCATAATCAAGAAGTGCAGTGGTTTTTACAGAGTGTGAACCATCTGACGAAGTTACATTAACTGGTACAATCATGAGATATACCCTTTTCCTTGAATTGAGAATTGATGCATCAGTGCTTCCATTGACAACATGAGTTGAAGTGTCACTTGCTGCATTTCTATCAGAAGGCTTGTCCTGTCTGATACGTTCTTGGTTGTGTAGAAGCGAATGGTGCAATTTTCCGCAGTTCTCAATTTTGCATCGGTTGTCACTGGGACAGTTGCGTGCTACATGCTTGGTACGAAAACAATTGAAACATAAAGCTTTTGACTGGATAAACTTTGCACGGTCTGGAACAGACTTCTTGATAAAGGATTCACATTTCCACAACCTGTGGGGTCCATCACAAAGTAAACAATCCGAAAACACATTGGACGACTTAACTTGTGATGTTTGGGTGACATAAGCGGACACCTTGGTAGAATTATAGCTCTTTTTTGGCATAGCATTTCTATTCTTCAAATTTTGCTCTGCAGTGAGACGGCTCAGCCTAGTATCTGCCAATATTGCAGATTGATTAACAAATTTATACAAATCATGATATGTTGGTTCTTTGTCACTATTGTAAGTAGATGTATGATGCCTTGTGAACTCTCTTTGCATTGGTACTGGAAGTCGTAAATAGATTTTGTCAAACAGATCTTGACTGTCAAGCTTAGAACTATGTTCCCAATTCGTCAAAATGATACCACAATTACGCATTTGTGTGGCAAGATCATATAATGCTTCAGAATCTTGTGGTTTTATGCTAGGACCATTTTTGAGTGAATCCATAAATGCGTTTACAACTTTGTAATCTCGTCCGAATTGTTGTTTGAGAATTGAGCGTGCATCAAGATAGCCTTGCAAAGGTGGTTTCACTATGATACAAGATTCAATTGCTTTTCTGGCTTTTCCGGTACATTGATCAATCAAATAGTTCAGTTTAGTACGAGGATCTGCAATTTTACTATCATACATATCATCAAAATTTTGAATAAACCTGTGATAACTCAACGCATCTCCATCAAATTTTTCTATTTCTTGAGGTCCTTGTCTAATTGAAGATGCCATGCAATACAGAGCATCAGCAAGACTCATGGAATTTTGGTTATCACCAACCGAAACTGGTGTAGGCCCATGGCTATAGCTAGTTGGATTACCTTGCATAAGAACTTGTCTATCAGGAACATGTTTAGACTCCTGTCGTCTTGATTGAGATTGTGAACCGAATGCAGAATTGCTATTGTATGTTAAAGGTGAATTATATTGCATCTCTTGTGGTGCTTGATAGACCGAGTGATATCTGTCTGCAGCAGTAGGGTTAATGTCACATTGCTCGTTATATCTTCTTGATGAATGGTACTCAGCACATGAGTAACGTGTTTGTTCCAACTGGGGAACCTGGTCAACATATGAATGCTTCACTTGTTGTATGCTAGGAAGATAATCTTTGTTCATGTATGTTTGTGACGCAATAGGTGAGCTGAAATGACTTTGAAATGGAGGAGTTTGCTTTGTCTGGTGCTCATGAGAAATTGACGCTGGTTCAACTTCATCAAGACATGCATTAACTGGTTCGCCATATGCATTATTTGGCATTGCGAGAGGCACATTTGAAATTTGAGTTACATCTTGTCGTAACGAAGAAATAGAACCTACACATGAAGGTGCCCGGCTGGCGGACGCTAGAGATTCTAATTCCTCATCTATCATGGATGCCTTAGCGCGTGACAAGTTAATATCAATTTCGAGCTTTGCCTGCTCCATTTCAACCTTTTTCTGCTCCATTTCCACTTTTCTTTGATCCATTTCTACTTTGCGTCTTTGGAGCTGGGCTTCATTCTCCATCTCCTCCAACTTTAACTTTGTTAAACGAGCCCGCTCCGAGCGCTGGCTGACACTAGACATCTTGCTACAATGCGAGCCATTAGATGCAGTACTTTTAGCATCATCAAAAACTTGCCAATCAGCACTTGAACTGTTTGAAGCCATCATAAATGATATGATTAGAGAAATGAATTTACAATAATCAGTCAGTGAAATCTATTTGTACAAGTCAATCTTGAATTGTGGCCTGGGCAATCCTAAATGCGTTGAGTGGCTTGTCCACTCAATGCCACAAAATTCTTTAAACGATGTAAATGACGCCCTTTAACCTGATGATATTTGAAGGCGACAAATACGTCCCGACCGAGATGGCCGGCCTGTAGACTATATAGCTGGCTGTATTCCTAAATTCCTTCGTCCAATATGATTGCCACTAACTTGCAATGTGTTAAATTTATTTGAAACCAATTAATCCAGTTCTTTTATTGAGTGACGAAAGATAATACGGTGTACTGTAAATTATATTCTAATTCCGTGTGCCGTATACCGTATATTTAAAGAATTTTTTGGGCTACCAACTACAAGTCTACATCTGTAGGACAAACATGCTTGATTAACAATAAACTAAATAAATGTGCAGCTTACTAACTAATCAATAGACCTATACCGCAGTAAAGCAAAGTCGGAAACCTAAATATTCTAAGCTAAAACGGCGCTGCCAAATGCGAAGCGCAACCTGAAACAACGGGCTGACCTTGAGTCTGAGTCGGTCAAACGCGGGCTCTTGTCACGTGACATCTATGTGACGTCATAATAGGTGTTAAATGACCCATAACAATATTATGATTTAAAAAAGGGAAAGATTGATCGTTACACACCCTGCTCAAGGTATTTTCTTGATCATGCTCTGCCTTTGATTTTAATATTTCTGTAGTTCTCAATGAATCTTTTGTATTGTCCCATGCATCACATCGATCCTTTTTGGGTTGATGAAATTTTATATTAAAATTATCATGAAAAATGGATAAGTAAGCTTCGTATTTCAAGGGATTCTCAATGTTATTTTCTGCACAGAATTGTATGTACATACGGTGCATAGTAGCCACATCTAATGTTGGAGGCAAATATTGATATTTAGACTCCTTTCGAACATACTGACTTTGAACTGTTTTAAACAAACAAATATGTTTGATTACCTTTTCCCCTTTTTTTGGATCAAATCTGTTATGGGGTACAGTTATACCACGCATATCATTTTCAACGCTTCCAATAAATTCTTTTGATAATGCTGTTCTAACTTGTTTTCTTGAAACATCAAGAGTTGTGAGGGAAAATGTCTGACAATTGACAAACCTCAAACTGATCTCTACTTTCCTTCTGAAAAAAATATTTGAAACTGACATCTCTTTTTTTGCGTCTGACTTTAATATCTGGTCTCAATCTGCTTCTTTTAATTTTGCATTTTTCAATCATTTTCGTAGTATTAATTTTTTTTGACAATATGTTATCTAATTTCCAATAATTTTCAAATAAAACTTCTCTGTCCTTGGCAGAAAATATTTCATTGCACTTTTTTTTACATGAACTAGAACATGTTTTCTTCATTTCTCTTTTAGGCATCAATCTAATTTCTTTATTTTTTGTTCTGTATTGGTAAGACTGTCCATGCATTCGAGCTTCCTTCCTAATATTTCTCTGCCACTTGGAGATATTTCTTTCTGTCAAAGGAGTAGGTGTTATCCAGTCTGTTGAACATTGTTCATTAACCCGATTTTCTGTTTGATTACAAAGCTTATTTATGTCACACAGATTCCATGTGATGGCAGTATTTTCCTTGGTATATCCAATGGATCGCAGTTTGGAACACTTTAGTTATAAAAAAAACTTCCTTGTCTATCCTCACAGTGAACACTTCTACACTTTGCTTTGAATATGGGATATCTTTCATAGCATAGAATTACTTCTTCACTTTCGACAACTGAAATGTCAACCTGGTGCTGTACTGTGGAATTTGATTTATCACTGTCAGATTCATTGTTTTGAGCCGTTCAATAACATGGCATAGACTGAGACTTTTCCTTCTCATAATTATAAGTTGGATCTTTATCTGAATCATCATTATAAGATTCAAAAGAACCATCTGATAAATTTTCTTCCCGGTCTTCATTTTGAGCTTCAACAAGGATATCAAGTTTTAAAGCATTTTTTTGGAACTGAAGTTGTTTGATTGTCAATAAAAAATTTGACTCGAACAGTGTTGGAGTAGACGCAAACTATCACTCCTTTTAACAGCGTCTTATCTTTATAAGGTAAACTATTACTGTATTCACGCTGTTCATTATCGAAATATGTAGCAGGGAGATAGATAAGTTTCTTTTCCTGTTTGCAGAATCTGACTCTCAGTGCCATCCCAACTTCGTGTGCCACAGGGGAATTCAGATTCAGGACCTAACATTGTTTCAATGATAAATTGTATATAGCTTTGGGAGAAATTAAACATACAATATTACTAAGTAGAACACAATTTAATACATACAAGATGACTAAATAGCACACAATTTAATTTTTATAATCTTTAAAATATTATGCAGTTATACTTAAAGCCTGCTATTGAATATACCAAGGCTCCTATCCCATTTAATATCTAACTTTCCAGGGTAAGCTACCTCTAGTCACCTGATTCCTGTAGCCCGTGCTCATAAGTATAACTGCAATATGCTTTATCAGTTGTCTTCATCACAATGAATAATTTGTTTCAGCCAATCATATTTATTTTTTCATGTTCTTTGGGACTACTTGATTCTAAACTTTGGCATAGAATGGGCCTATGTTCATTTTGACAGTAAATATGTGGGGCTGAAAGGGCCTAAGTCCATCATATTGGACATAGGCCTGTTCTCAACACCTCTAAAATTATAGCATTCCTAAGTCCAGCTAAAATTTTTATTATTGAGAAATTCAGGATTTCAAGACCACCATCTTGTAGAGCATGGCTCAAAACCCCAAAATATTGAACATAAAGGTGGCCAGATTTTTTATCAAAAACAACAATGACTTCTTTGCCCGTATTTTCAGCAACGCTCGATGGCGTAATATTCATGGAGTCCATAACGGACATGCTGAATTTGAACTGACGATCAGCATTTTTTCTGACAATGTCTTCATTGGCGATGACATATCTCCGATACCCAAAAGACAGTTTGGATAAATCAACCAATCCAATCAGATCGTCTGCAAATTTTTTACGACTTCTGGAATCAAACTTAATCCAGTTGAATACAGCATTGAGCTTCACATCCTCTGAAACTTTTAATTCTTCTGATTTTATCATGTTCACAACTTCCTTTTTAACAAGCAAACCAAAATCATCGACCTTTGAGATTTCTTCAAATTTATTCAAAATGAATTGGTTGCATATTTCTTCAAGATTTGTCAGACTGAAAATTTTGGAAACTTTTCTGGTTTCAAATACTGATTCTGGACTCAGATTTGTTTCAAGAAGTTCCACGATTCCGCTACAAACTTCATCAAGTTGCAATAATGTGGCAACATGCAATAAATCACCAAGTTTTTCAAATGGAGCCGCAATTTCACAGCTGTACATGTAGTCAACACATTTTTTAACACAAAATGCATCAACTTCTTTCATTTCACATATTCCTGATTGATTTTCCTTCGTGTCATGCGCAAACATCTTATCAAAATAATCCGAGTTCGCAGACAACCCATTCTTATGAGCCAGGATTCATCAGATCCAACCTTGAATAGAACATCACAACGATCTTTATCTTTTCTCAATCTGTCGAGTCGCTGGAAAACCTTCCATATGCGATTGGTTTTATCACATTTAATCTCAAGCTTCATTTTAGATTTGTCCACTACAAAGAGAAAAATAAAATATATTGACGGAATATAGTAAATGATACTGAATGCTATATACATATTGATAGATATTACATAACTGTGAAGTTAGGTCTAGTCTGCTTTGGTGTCATCTTAATCTCAGAAATATTTGAGCCTGAGTACCAACGACATTTCACCAGTTACTAAACTGACTAGTAATGTTTCATTGTTGAAAAATAGGTACTCCCATAGTGTGTGTACCAGGTAAGGGTTAAGCCATAATTTTACTCCAATTTTCCTTATTTTGGTTTCATTACGAGTTTGGGTACTGTCTTTGTTATTCAAGTGAATGTACTGCCCATAGGTTTATGTCCCTTTACACAACTTAGATGTAAAATAGGTGAACAAAATTAGTTACATCCATATTGGTACACACACTTCTGGAGCACCGAATAATATACCGGTACCTCAAAATTTAAACATATAAAACAGTGCTGATTAAAACATTGCACATTGACATACGGTATATAGAATTAGGACAAAACTAAATGGAACACACATTTGTAAAATAGGCGGCATTCGAACCATTAAAACACAGCAGCAAATGAAATCATAATTTTACTAAATATATTGCAGATAAAAAATTACAATGAAAATTGAGCCCCTATAAATTTTTGAGGGTGTGATAACAGCAATATTACTCAACTTCGTAATAGATTCACTCAAGTGATTACCAGAGGTGGTTTTGAAAACCTCTAAAACAGTGGTCAACTTATCAAAGTGAATACAGTAGAATAGATACGTGATTAGGATTGAAAATATTGCATAATATATAAATTAAGATAAATAAATGTTCAATAGGAAGAATAATTTATAAATGTTTTATTCATATAATAAACTTTTCAAGGACAGTTAATTCATAATGAAAATACAACTATAATCGCCAGAGAACTTTGATCGCAATTTGAGCTCTGCAGTGTGCATAAAGCATACACCAGTCTATAAGAAAAAAATAATAATTAATATGTAATTAAAACTCTGATTACTTTACTTCACTATTTCATGGCTGTTATAAAGACCTATTGGAGAAGAAATGCCAATATTTTGTACAATGAATAAGGGCAAACCTTTACTACGGGAGTGCCAAATACAAGTAACTGGTGGTGGCGAGCTGCACCTTTATTTAACATAGCCTTTCTAGTAGTTGCACGCACAATAATTTGTTTCTTTTTGTTATTGATCTTATGACATTGTTGGGGTTCTTGCAGAAATGATGAATGAACACGCGTAAACCTCTGAAGAAAATTGCTATTCAAATTTATTGTCACTCAGATTTCAAACAAATTTAGTGAGAAATACGTTTTTATAACATTGTGTATTTTGCAACAAGTTCTGGCTAACCAGTTTTGCTAATATAACAGTGGCATTCAGGTGCTGGTATAGGCTTCGCAATGCAAAGGCCCAACGAAATTGTAATTTCTCGCCTGTACCATTTTAACCTAACTAAAAACTCATTTCGCGGGCACAAACATTTAAAATTGGCACTTCTTCTTGGGCCGCACAATTTTTCCTTGCAGACAGCATTTTGGCCCGCGAGTTCATGCTAAAGATGAGAAAGTTAGTTTTTCAATTTAATTTTCACTGAATCCTGGATCATGAATTTCATTTCATCTGGTATCGCAATCAGCTCCCATTTATTCTTTGCAATGTTGTATTTTTCAAAACTATCACGTTTGTGCCATCCTCCAACAGCATAAATAAAACCCTCAATTGCATGGGCATGAAACCAACATCTAGCAACAAGCATTGGATTTAGAGATTGCCAGTGATTACTTATTGGATCAAATCGCCAAACTGCTTTGATGGATTGGAAGCAATCTTCATCATCATCATCAACAAGGCCACCAAGAATATAAATACTTTCATCAACTGTTACAACTGCAACCTTGGACATTTTCTCAGGCATATGACCGACTATTTTCCAAACATCCGCTTCAGCATCAAACTGATTGACTATATTTAGTAACTGTCCAGATGTGGAGCCCCCAAAATAGCAAATCCTTTTTGGAAAAACTGTCAATCCTGATCCATCCAACGGTTGTGACATATTGTTTAGTCTTGTCCATATGTTTGAATCGGGATCATACTTCTCAACAGCATCAATATCATTATATAAATATACATCAAAACTCCCGATAACATAAATGTTGTTATTCAAAACAACAGCTGGTGGATACTGGCCATGATCTTCAAGCATATCAGCCATTTTCTCCCAGGTGGCATCTTCATCAAGATAATTGAGCCTGTAAACAGCCTTGTTTTCCATCAAAACATAAATAAAGTCATCAACAGAAACAGCCGAGAAACATTCATCCGTCATTTCTTCATTCATCTCTTGCATTTGAAACCATGAGTTGTTTTCAGGATTATAACAATGCAAGTAGCCAGATTTTCCATCAAAAACGACAATGCCTTCTTTGCTCGTACTTTCAGCAACGCTCGATGGCGTAATATTCATAAAGTCCATCACAGACATGCTGAATTTGAACAGACAATCAGCATTTTTCCTGACAATATCTTCATTAGCGATGACATGTCTGCGATACCCAAGAGACAGTTTGGATAAATCAACCAATCCAATCAGATCGTCTGCAAATTTTTTACGACTTCTGGAATCAAACTTAATCCAGTTGAATACAGCATTGAGCTTCACATCCTCTGAAACTTTTAATTCTTCTGATTTTATCATGTTTACAAATTCCTTTTTAACAAGCAAACCAAAATCATCGACCTTTGAGATTTCTTCAAATTTATCCAAAATGAATTGGTTGCATATTTCTTCAAGATTTGTCAGACTGAACATTTTGGAAACTTTTCTGGTTTCAAATACTGATTCTGGACTCAGATTTGTTTCAAGAAGTTCCACGATTCCGCTACAAACTTCATCAAGTTGCAATAATGTGGCAACATGCAATAAATCACCAAGTTTTTCAAATGGAGCCGCAATTTCACAGCTGTACATGTAGTCAACACATTTTTTAACACAAAATGCATCAACTTCTTTCATTTCACATATTCCTGATTGATTTTCCTTCGTGTCATGCGCAAACATCTTATCAAAATAATCCGAGTTCGCAGACAACACATTCTTATGAGCCAGGATTTCATTAGATCCAACCTTGAATAGAACATCACAACGATCTTTATCTTTTCTCAATCTGTCGAGTCGCTGGAAAACCTTCCATATGCGATTGTTCTTATCACATTTAAGCTCAAGCTCCATTTTAGATTTGTCCACTACAAAGAGAAAAATAAAATATATTGACGGAATATAGTAAATGATGCTGAATGCTATATACATATTAATAGATATTACATAACTGTGAAAGTTAGGTCTAGTCTGCTTTGGTATCATCTTAATCTCAGAAATATTTGAGCCTGAGTACCAACGGCATTTCACCAGTTACTAAACTGACTAGTAATGTTTCATTGTTGAAAAATAGGTACTCCCATAGTGTGTGTACCAGGTTAGGGTTGGGCCATAATTTTACTCCAATTTTCCTTATTTTGGTTATATTACGAGTTTGGGTACTGTCTTTGTTATTCAAGTGAATGTACTGCCCATAGGTTTATGTCCCTTTACACAACTTAGATGTAAAATAGGTGAACAAAATTAGTTACATTCATATTGGTACACACACTTCTGGAGCACCGAATAATATACCGGTACCTCTAGGGATGGGCAATATAGAATACCGAATCCGGAGGATTCGAATACTTTGGGACGGGATCCGCTAACAGGATTCGGTTTGTGCCTTTCCGGCGCCATGCGTCAATTTTTGTATTTCGGGTTTCAAATTTATCAATTATAGACGAGCGTTTTTCTCACGTGGAAATCTCTCTCGTTTAATTAAACTTGCGTCTGCTCGCAAAGAACCCGTAAATCGGTAAACATCAAACACTGTAATTTCAATCGGCATATTCAGGACAAGAAGTCGGCAATATAATCTCACGGCGAAGACTCGTTATTGCACCATTTTTGCGTTTTCCTTCTTTGCTATCTAGCTGGCGTTATTTGTGCCGACTCACTGGTGATATTCCGATAATCTGAATGCAACAATCTTTAATTGTTTACAGACGTGCCGTGCTTCATTTTAAATTAAATGATTTTTCGCGACCTACGAGTTTTCCAAAAAAATGATGCACGTAAACCAAAAGCCAGGCGTTAAATGTTATAACATTACTTGCGATCAAATATTATTTACTAATAATTTTATTATACCATTTTCCGAAATACAAAGTTATATCGCAAAACGCGAACATCTGTCACATTTAAATTTCACTCTCAAAAGATTACATATTTTTCGGTCCGTTTCTATCGTTCAAGATAGACGCACGTTTGATCGAGTGTCTGTAGTACTTTAGTCGCCGATAAATTTTGACAAAAGTTGCCGCATCTGGCGAAGATAGTGACATATTGAAATTGAGTAGGGCTAAGTCTGGGTAGATAATGATTAATGATAACATTTCTATCGTTCAAGATAGACGCACGTTTGATCGAAAGTCTGTAGTATTTTAAACGGCGATGAATTTTGAAAAAAGTTGCCGCATCTGGCGAAGATAGTGACGTATTGAATTTTAGTAGGGCCAAGTCTGGGTAGATAATGATATGTAACGATAATCATAGAAAATGAGTTCGTCTTTAGATGTTATTACCTAATAACTAAGTACGAAATCGCGTTTACGGGAACTTGGTTTAACGTGTCTTGCTCGCACAGAATAAAAAGTTGATTTTAATTGATAGTGGCTAAATTTAATATTTTACAAGGGCGCCTAGGTTGCGGTGGCCACACGCTGGTTCTGCATCTAATTAGTTCTCAGCGGGTATGTTTTAGTACACTCGACAGACTTACATTTATAATGATTTAACGCCGTTTCATGTCTATTTTGTATTTAACCGCTTACTATTAAAGTGCGTAAGCGTGTCTTAGTTTGGCATATCAGTATTTAGGGATTACATACATTTGGAACAATTGAGGGCAAAAAATATTGTAATATTCCTAAATTTTATTGTCCTGGGAACTGCCTGTTTAGTATCAAATGAAATCCAATGTTCAGGACATTTCCAAATAAATAATACATTTATAGTAATACATTTACAATTTTTTAAATCCAGCATTGTGGAAATTCCCACTATTTGTATAACTATGAAAATAGAATAGGATTCGGTATTCTGGATTCGATTTAACTATTCTAGAATAGTAAATTATTCTACATTGCCCATCCCTAGGTACCTCAAAATTTAAACATATAAAACAGTGCTGATTAAAACATTGCACATTGACAGATGGTATATAGAATTAAGACGAAACTAAATGGAACACACATTCGTAAAATAGGCGGCATTCGAACCATTAAAACATAGCAGCAAATGAAATCATAATTTTACTAAATATATTGCAGATAAAAAATTACAATAAAAATTGAGCCCCTATAAATTTTTGAGGGTGTGATAACAGCAATATTACTCAACTTCGTAATAGATTCACTCAAGTGACTACCAGAGGTGGTTTTGAAAACCTCTAAAACAGTGGTCAACTTATCAAAGTGAATACAGTAGAATAGATACGTGATTAGGATTGAAAATATTGCATAATATATAAATTAGGATAAATAAATGTTCAAAAGGAAGAATAATTTATAAATGTTTCATTCATATAATAAACTTTTCAAGGACAGTTAATTCATAATGAAAATACAACTATAATCGCCAGAGAACTTTGATCTCAATTTGAGCTCTGCAGTGTGTATAAAGCATACACCAGTCTATGAGAAAAAAATAATAATTAATATGTAATTAAAACTCTGATTACTTTACTTCATTATTTCATGGCTGTTATAAAGACCTATTGGAAAAGAAAAGCCAATATTTTGTACAATGAATAAGGGCAAACCTTTACTACGGGAGTGCCAAATACAAGTAACTGGTGGTGGCGAACTGCACCTTTATTTAACATAGCCTTTCTAGTAGTTGCACGCACAATAATTTGTTTCTTTTTGTTATTGATCTTATGACATTGTTGGGGTTCTTGCAGAAATGGTGAGTGAACACGCGTAAACCTCTGAAGAAAATTGCTATTCAAATTTATTGTCACTCCGATTTCAAACAAATTTAGTGAGAAATACGTTTTTATAACATTGTGTATTTTGCAACAAGGTCTGGCTAACCAGTTTTGCTAATATAACAGTGGCATTCAGGTGCTGGTATAGGCTTCGCAATGCAAAGGCCCAACGAAATTGTAATTTCTCGCATGTACCATTTTAACCTAACTAAAAACTCATTTCGCAGGCACAAACATTTAAAATTGGCACTTCTTCTTGGGCCGCACAATTTTTCCTTGCAGACAGCATTTTGGCCCGCGAGTTCATGCTAAAGATGAGAAAGTTAGTTTTTCAATTTAATTTTCACTGAATCCTGGATCATGAATTTCATTTCATCTGGTATCGCAATCAGCTCCCATTTATTCTTTGCAATGTTGTATTTTTCAAAACTATCACGTTTGTGCCATCCTCCAACAGCAGTAATCAGTAATCAGTAATTTATTTCTTCACCAAGCTGAAAGTACGAATTTTACATACACAAATAAAGAAAATATAAAAGACCGCATTCCAGGGTGAAAGGAGACGCCGAAAACCAATTCTGGTTATCGAGCGGCGGCACCCACGGGGAAGTCTAACAAAAACGTGATAAATATAATTAAATCGAACAAAATATATTACTTAATAAATAAATAAAGAAACGCAATCGATGCGTCAAGGCGACCCGGTAAAAACCAAGCAATCGCCGTTTAAAAATAAGAAAATCGACTCCATGCACCACAGTCTAGGTAACCATGGAAATTATTAAGTGAACCAAACAGACTTGCAGTGTGGTCATGGCAGGTAAATAGTTCGGCTACGGTAAAGTGCAACACAAGTCGATTGTGTGCATATAAGTGTCCAGATTGAAATAAAACTGGATGTTAAGAGTACACAAATTGTAAAAGTATAGAATACCGTACCAATCAAGTATGCAAATAACAAAATATTGACACTTTGAGGCAGAAACAAGCTAGTAGTGTGAAAGCTAAAATGTTGACCTGGACTAACAAGTGTTTTGATGCTGGAGTCAAAGATTCACATACGGGAATTGTATAAACATGAGGAAAATATACATCGAAATATTCAGCAGTATTAATACAACACAATGAAGTGAGTATCATACCATAGAAGTAGACTAGGAAAATTAAAAAAAAAAAATTAAGTTAATCAAAAGGATAAAAACAATTGACCTGGATCACTGTTACCGAGGCATTATAAATAGTAAAAACAAATACAACATTAGGCTTGACTGCCCATAATGAAAGTAATCAGAAGGATGCCAATTAAGTTTGGATCCCAGTTGAGGCATGTAAAATGGCATGGTAACAATAAGTGTATTTATGGGCATTGGACTGTAGGCATGAATTTGTCATTGGCAGTTAACAGAATAGATATCAAGAAATTACACACTAAATAGGAGACCAAGATCATTGAGGAGCGGGCTCAATAGTAGGGCAAAAAGCCTGCAATATTTTTTTGTTATATAATTTTAGTAATATAATTTTTGGCTTCAACCTCAACCCACAATGTGTTGGTGACAAGAAACACTTGTCAAGTGGCTTGTGCCCATCAGTATGGAATACACAATTAAAATTATAAGCTAAAATACAATACGAATATTTACACGAGACATTGTTTTGTTACAGGTGATTTGGATCGAGACAAATGATGAGCTGGCAATGACGAAAAGATTTGCTGGGACCACATCAACTGGATGTAGAGGCAGTGGAAAGGTAAAGGGAGCGCATGAATTTTTTGTATTTGAATTTGAAAGTGTCATAACTACAGTTACGTAAGTTTAAGGGAATATTATTCCAAGTTACCACACCTTTTTATATTTCAAGAGTTTTGGGATTTGCTTAGAGAAAATCTGGGTACAAATAAATTAGACCTTGTCGAAGAGCGTGTGTTATGATCATGCACTTTACTGAGCGAAACAAAATAATCGTCGAAAGCAGCGGGCAAATGGTTGCTATGAAACTGATGCATGACCTTGAAATCTCTAGTTGATAGATATCGGCTAATTTTAACACCCTGGTCTTATAGTATAGGGTGTTTAAGTTAGATCGAATGGGTGCTCTAGAGAGAATTCTAACTGCTCTATTTTGTAAACTTCAAACTGTGCAACGCTGATTGGGTGGCGGAGCCCCATGCAGTTATAGCATACTGTATTATGAGACCTGGAAAAGTGTCGAAGTATAATGCGGTTCGGATGAGTTAGTCCTGGGACGTAATGTCTGAGCTTACCAGGATTCCAACTGCTCTTGACAGTCTCTTATGCAGTCTCAGTAAGTATGAGTGTTCCAAATTTAGTTTGTCCCTCGATAAGAATGCCCAAGATATTTGAAAGAGTGGTACAATTTCGAGTGTGACACCCCTGTATTTTTAATTGAAAAAGTTTCATGTCTGGTTCGAGTTTTAGGACCCAATACAACATAACTTTTAGATTTTTTAACATTCACAGTAAGTTTATTGCATACCATCCAATATACACTTTGTTAATTTCAGTGTTCACCTCGGCTTGCAGTGGGTTAGATTCTTTGCACTGTCGAAGGCAGACAGGCATCATCGGCGAAGAGTTTTGCTCAAGAAATTGAACAATTTGAAAGATCGTTTATGGAAGATTAAAAATTCAAAGGTCCTAATACGCTACCTTGTGGAATTCCGTAATGGATGGGTAATACGAAGACTGTGAGAAGTCTAACTCCACATATTGATAACGTCCGGACAGGTAATCATTAATAACTTGCCTGCGACACCTCGAAAGCCAAAATATCTTAAGTTTTTGAGAGAGAATAGCATGGTCGACAGTATCAAAAGCTTTTTTCAGATCTAAGAAAGTACAACAGACGATTTCCCCTTTGTCAAGTTTATCATAAATAAATGAAGTTAAGTCCAAGATAGCGTGACTGGTCGAGTGATTGCTTTGGAATCCAAATTGACATTATTGATCAAGTTAACTTTTTTACAAAAATTCAGCATTCGACTTATGAACTAATTTTTCTAAAATGATGCCTAGGGAGGGTAAAATGGAAATTGGTCGGTAATTTGACGGGTCATTTCTTTGCCATTTTAAATATTGGTTTCACTCTGGCAATCTTTAACGATGAAGGAAAAATACCTAATTTAAAGATGAGTTGAAAAAATGACACAGAGTTGGCGATATGATATCAGCGACTTGTTTTAGAAAGTAAGTTGGAATACCATCTGGGCCAACTGCTTTTCCATTTTTCAGGTTCAATATGGTTTGAAGAATCTCTGTATGTGTCGTTGGCTCCAGGAAAAAGGTGTTTTGCAGCGGAACACCCAAAAAATCGTAGAGGGTTAGAGCTACCAGGTATGTTATTCGCAAGTTTCTTTCCTACCGTTGAGAAGATTCATTAAATTCACTGGCCATCATTGATGGGGTCTGTCACTGTGGGTACCATTTTCGAGTTTCAATTCTGAGATGATGTATCATCTCTGGGACTTAGTCTTAATGATCTCGTTAATAGTTTTCCAAGTTTGTTTGATATCTCCCGGTTATTCTCGAGGCATAGCGATAATGCAGTTGTTTCGATTTTCTCTGCAAGTGCATTAAGAATTTTTTATATTTTTTGAAGTGGAGACGCTGAAGTGTATTACCTTTCAAAAAATTTTTTTTGAACATATTATTTTTGTGAATGATGGACTTGCGAATTCCCTTAGTGATCCACGGTTTGGAGTATAATTTATTTTCTCTTCGTGATAGGGGTCTTAATGGAGCGTGTTTGTTTATTAACCATTTCATTTGACCCAGGAAATCATCAAAAGAGCTATTGAAATTTTCTCTAGTAAGAGTAACACTCATGTAATTATTACACATTAATTCAATTTCAGATCTAAAAGAGTCGTTACAAAATTTAGTCATATCTCGCTTCAGCAGCATAAATAAAACCCTCAATTGCATGGGCATGAAACCAACATCTAGCAGCAAGCATTGGATTTAGAGATTGCCAGTGATTACTTATTGGATCAAATCGCCAAACTGCTTTGATGAATTGGAAGCAATCTTCTTCAACAAGGCCACCAAGAATATAAATACTTTCATCAACTGTGACAACTGCAACCTTGGACATTTTCTCAGGCATATGACCGACTATTTTCCAAACATCCGCTTCAGCATCAAACTGATTGACTATATTTAGTAACTGTCCAGAGGAGTGGCCACCAAAACAATAAATCTTATTTTGAAAAACTGTTAATCCTGGTCCATCCAACGGTTGTGGCATATTGTTTAGTCTTGTCCATATGTTTGAATCGGGATCATACTTCTCAACAGCATCAATATCATTATATAAATATACATCAAAACTCCCGATAACATGGATGTTGTTATTCAAAACAACAGCTGGTGGATACTGGCCATGATCTTCAAGCATATCAGCCATTTTCTCCCAGGTGGCATCTTCATCAAGATAATTGAGCCTGTAAACAGCCTTGTTTTCCATCAAAACATAAATAAAGTCATCAACAGAAACAGCCGAGAAACATTCATCCGTCATTTCTTCATTCATCTCTTGCATTTGAAACATGAGTTGTTTTCAGGATATATAACAATGCAAGTAGCCAGATTTTCCATCAAAAAACGACAATGCCTTCTTTGCTCGTACTTTCAGCAACGCTCGATGGCGTAATATTCATAAAGTCCATCACAGACATGCTGAATTTGAACAGACGATCAGCATTTTTCCTGACAATATCTTCATTAGCGATGACATGTCTGCGATACCCAAGAGACAGTTTGGATAAATCAACCAATCCAATCAGATCGTCTGCAAATTTTTTACGACTTCTGGAATCAAACTTAATCCAGTTGAATACAGCATTGAGCTTCACATCCTCTCTCCTCTGAAACTTTTAATTCTTCTGATTTTATCATGTTTACAAATTCCTTTTTAACAAGCAACCCAAAATCATCGACCTTTGAGATTTCTTCAAATTTATCCAAAATGAATTGGTTGCATATTTCTTCAAGATTTGTCAGACTGAACATTTTGGAAACTTTTCTGGTTTCAAATACTGATTCTGGACTCAGATTTGTTTCAAGAAGTTCCACGATTCCGCTACAAACTTCATCAAGTTGCAATAATGTGGCAACATGCAATAAATCACCAAGTTTTTCAAATGGAGCCGCAATTTCACAGCTGTACATGTAGTCAACACATTTTTTAACACAAAATGCATCAACTTCTTTCATTTCACATATTCCTGATTGATTTTCCTTCGTGTCATGCGCAAACATCTTATCAAAATAATCCGAGTTCGCAGACAACACATTCTTATGAGCCAGGATTTCATCAGATCCAACCTTGAATAGAACATCACAACGATCTTTATCTCTTCTCAATCTGTCGAGTCGCTGGAAAACGTTCCATATGCGATTGTTCTTATCACATTTAAGCTTAAGCTCCATTTTGGATTTGTCCACTACAAAGAGAAAAATAAAATATATTGACGGAATATAGTAAATGATACTGAATGCTATATACATATTGATAGATATTACATAACTGTGAAAGTTAGGTCTAGTCTGCTTTGGTATCATCTTAATCTCAGAAATATTTGAGCCTGAGTACCAACGGCATTTCACCAGTTACTAAACTGACTAGTAATGTTTCATTGTTGAAAAATAGGTACTCCCATAGTGTGTGTACCAGGTTAGGGTTGGGCCAAAATTTTACTCCAATTTTCCTTATTTTGGTTATATTACGAGTTTGGGTACTGTCTTTGTTATTCAAGTGAATGTACTGCCCATAGGTTTATGTCCCTTTACACAACTTAGATGTAAAATAGGTGAACAAAATTAGTTACATCCATATTGGTACACACACTTCTGGAGCACCGATAATATACCGGTACCTCAAAATTTAAACATATAAAACAGTGCTGATTAAAACATTGCACATTGACAGACGGTATATAGAATTAAGACGAAACTAAAAGGAACATAGATTCGTAAAATAGGCGGCATTCGAACCATTAAAACACAGCAGCAAATGAAATCATAATTTTACTAAATATATTGCAGATAAAAAATTACAATGAAACCCGAGCCCCTATAAATTTTTGAGGGTGTGATAACAGCAATATTACTCAACTTCGTAATAAATTCACTCAAGTGATTACCAGAGGTGGTTTTGAAAACTTCTAAAACAGTGGTCAACTTATCAAAGTAAATACAGTAGAATAGATACGTGATTAGGATTGAAATCATTGCATAATATATAAATTAAGATAAATAAAAGTTCAATAGGAAGAATAATTTATAAATGTTTTATTCATATAATAAACTTTTCAAGGACAGTTAATTCATAATGAAAATACAACTATAATCGCCATAGAACTTTGATCTCAGTTTGAGCGCTGCAGTGTGTATAAAGCATACACCAGTCTATAAGAAAAAAATAATAATTAATATGTAATTAAAACTCTGATTACTTTACTTCACTATTTCATGGCTGTTATAAAGACCTATTGGAAAAGAAATGCCAATATTTTGTACAATGAATAAGGGCAAACCTTTACTACGAGAGTGCCAAATACAAGTAACTGGTGGTGGCGAGCTGCACCTTTATTTAACATAGCCTTTCTAGTAGTTGCACGCACAATAATTTGTTTCTTTTTGTTATTGATCTTATGACATTGTTGGGGTTCTTGCAGAAATGATGAATGAACACGCGTAAACTTCTGAAGAAAATTGCTATTCAAATTTATTGTCACTCCGATTTCAAACAAATTTAGTGAGAAATACGTTTTTATAACATTGTGTATTTTGCAACAAGTTCTGGCTAACCAGTTTTGCTAATGTAACAGTGGCATTCAGGTGCTGGTATAGGCTTCGCAATGCAAAGGCCCAACGAAATTGTAATTTCTCGCATGTACCATTTTAACCTAACTAAAAACTCATTTCGCGGGCACAAACATTTAAAATTAGCACTTCTTCTTGGGCCGCACAATTTTTCCTTGCAGACAGCATTTTGGCCGCGAGTTCATGCTAAAGATGAGAAAGTTAGTTTTTCAATTTAATTTTCACTGAATCCTGGATCATGAATTTCATTTCCATCTGGTATCGCAATCAGCTCCCATTTATTCTTTGCAATGTTGTATTTTTCAAAACTACCACGTTTGTGCCATCCTCCAACAGCATAAATAAACCCTCAATTGCATGGGCATGAAACCAACATCTAGCAACAAGCATTGGATTAGAGATTGCCAGTGATTACTTATTGGATCAAATCGCCCAAACTGCTTTGATGAATTGAAGCAATCTTCTTCAACAAGGCCACCAAGAATATAAATACTTTCATCAACTGTGACAACTGCAACCTTGGACATTTTCTCAGGCATATGACCGACTATTTTCCAAACATCCGCTTCAGCATCAAAACTGATTGGCTATATTTAGTAACTGTCCAGAGGATGGCCACCAAAACAATAAATCTTATTTTGAAAAACTGTTAATCCTGGTCCATCCAACGGTTGTGGCATATTGTTTAGTCTTGTCCATATGTTTGAATCGGGATCATACTTCTCAACAGCATCAATATCATTATATAAATATACATCAAAACTCCCGATAACATAAATGTTGTTATTCAAAACAACAGCTGGTGGATACTGGCCATGATCTTCAAGCATATCAGCCATTTTCTCCAGGTGGCATCTTCATCAAGATAATTGAGCCTGTAAACAGCCTTGTTTTCCATCAAAACATAAATAAAGTCATCAACAGTAACAGCCGAGAAACATTTCATCCGTCATTTCTTCATTCATCTCTGCATTTGAAACCATTGAGTGTTTTCAGGATTATTAACAATGCAAGTAGCCAGATTTTCATCAAAAACGACAATGCCTTCTTTGCTCGTACTTTCAGCACGCTCGATGGCGTAATATTCATAAAGTCCATACAGACATGCTGAATTTTGAACAGACGATCTGCATTTTTCCTGACAATATCTTCATTAGCGAATGACATGTCTGCGATACCCAAGAGACAGTCTTGGATAAAATCAACCAATCCAATCAGATCATCTGCAAAATTTTTTACGACTTTCTGGGAATCAAACTTTAAATCCAGATTGAATTACAGCAGATTGAGCCTTCCACATCCTCTGAAACTTTTTAATTCTTCTGATTTTTATCATGTTTACAAATTCCTTCTTTAACAAGCAAACCAAAATCATCGACCTTTGAGATTTCATTTAAAATTGGCACTTCTTCTTGGGCCGCACAATTTTTCCTTGCAGACAGCATTTTGGCCCGCGAGTTCATGCTAAAGATGAGAAAGTTAGTTTTTCAATTTAATTTTCACTGAATCCTGGATCATGAATTTCATTCCATCTGGTATCGCAATCAGCTCCCATTTATTCTTTGCAATGTTGTATTTTTCAAAACTACCACGTTTGTGCCATCCTCCAACAGCATAAATAAAACCCTCAATTGCATGGGCATGAAACCAACATCTAGCAACAAGCATTGGATTTAGAGATTGCCAGTGATTACTTATTGGATCAAATCGCCAAACTGCTTTGATGAATTGGAAGCAATCTTCTTTAACAAGGCCACCAAGAATATAAATACTTTCATCAACTGTGACAACTGCAACCTTGAACATTTTCTCAGGCATATGACCGACTATTTTCCAAACAACCGCTTCAGCATCAAACTGATTTCAAATTTTTTTGGCCGTTTTATTAAGACTTGATTCATAATTGGTAGTGCCACTGATGTGCAAAATTAAAAACTTTCCAGCTCAGAAAGTCCAAACGAGCAGTCACTGGTACATCGTAGACTGATTTGTGAAAATAGTGGAAGACTATTCTGACCCGACATAGCCTGTAGGTTTGAATGGAGCTCAACTCAGAATGCCCACGCCAATGGTGTGTTGGTCTGAACTGAGCAAAAGTAGACCGGTGCATAAGAAAGTTACCAAAACAATTGGTAACAGTGGTCAGCTTACCGAAGGAGATAAAGCAGAATACACTTAAACAATAGAAGACACTGCTGAGTAAGCAGTGCATAGTAAGTTAAATTGATATAAAAACACCAAAAATGGGTGACATCAGAATCATGAAAACACAAGAAAAAACATAATTTGACTAGAAATATTGCACTAAAATTAAAGAACAGTTATAATTTGGTTTAAACCTGGGAATCGCTGAGGTGACTTACGGCATTAGTTTTACTAGAAACATTACATATGAAATTACAGTGATAGTTTGTTTGTCTACGGTGGTACAAGCTCCCAAAATCAATGGAGGGTGACTTACGGCATTAACTTTACTAGAAATACTGCACACACTTTGAACTTCGCTTTTTATTGAAAAAGTATTTTTTGCTAGTCACACCCCTGGACCAGTGGTTCCACTCAGTAGCAAAAAACTGAACTACAGCAATTTTTAATAGGTTTGTGGCTTAGGAATGTTTCTAGTCTAGACTATGGCTCACGGGTTGAAGACTGAGAATCTGATTAAAAATCAAGTTTTCAAATCAGATTATCAACGAAAATATAGTAGAAGAAAATATAGGATACTGCATATTATATCACAATACAGTTAAATGAAAGATTGCAAAAAAGGAAAAATTCAAATAAATGTCTTATAGGTAAATTAACCCCTTCATATGAATGCATTTGTCATTTGAAAAGATTAAAAAGTACTATTTATTAAGAATGTATATGAAGAAGAAACTCGAAAAAGTAAAAGTATTTGAAATTAAGAATAAATTCAAAATAAAATTGTTTATTCCGATAATCTATATTTCTTATGTCACAATAACCAACATTTAATGAAACAATTTATTAAATTGGATAATATTATTGTATTGAATAATTAATTAATCCTTGAATAATAGTTAAAACCATGAGATGTAAACGTTACTTTTTTAATTTGATTTTCACTGAATTCATAACGTCCAATTCCATTCTTTCTGGTGTCTCAATGAGCTCCCATTTGTCTTCTGCAATGTTGTATTTTTCTAAACTATCACTACTGTCCCATCCTCCAACTGCATAAATGTAACCCTGAATTGCAAAAGCATTGAATGAATATCGGCTGGTAAGCATTGGACTTAGAGATTGCCAGTTATTGCTTATTGGATCAAATCGCCAAACTGCTTTGATGGATTCGAGGCCTTCAACGAGTCTACCAAGAATATAAATGCTTTCACCAACTGTAACAACTGCAGTATATGACTTTGCAACATGCATATGACCGACTGTCTTCCAAACATCAGCTTCAGCATCAAGTTGATTGACTATATTCAGAAACTGTCCAAAGTAGTAGCCACCAAAACAATAAATCTTGTTTTGAAAAACAGCTAATCCAGGTGCCTCAATAGGTTGTGATATATTGCTTGTCCATATGTTTGAATTGGGATCATACCGTTCAACAGCAGTAATATCACTATATCGCCGGATGAGAACAGAACAGGCCTAAGTCACATTTTTGAGTTTTGAGAAAATCGCAAAAAACAGTTTTGAATTTTATCATACTTGAATATCTAGTTAAGTATTCTCAGTGAAGATCTGAGCTTTGGCTAGGATAAGGTCCCTGATAATAGCTTTTTAATCAACATCTTTTGGCACTTCAACTTCGATTCGTTTTCATATTTTACCCCCCTAAAGGCATTTGGCCTATTCTGTTCTCAGTGATAATTGACGGACTTGGGCCCTTTCTGTCACCCATTGGTTCTTAGGCCCAATATGCACTACGCAAATTCCTATAATTGTGACTTAGGTCTGTTGGCCTAACATATCTCTGCTTGCTAATGCTAGTATGCCCCAGTTTTACAGCAGCCTTGTTTTTGTCTTGTGTATTGAATCAAAACAACAGAACAACTAACGAACTACAAAATTAGACCAATTTTGAATGTGAAGTTTTCAAAAAAGGAATAAAAAAGAAACTGAATATGAAAAATCAAAAAACAATTCAAAGGGTTTGAAAGCCCGTGTCTTTGAAACTGGTGAATCGATCTAAATGGAGGAAGATTCATCATCACTGTCTGATTCATCTGTTTCATCATTTTGAATGATGAGACTCTCGTAGAACGTATGGTATTGCGGTGGAATGAGATTTTTTTTACACAGCTTCATTAAGGCACCATATTTTTCTATTGTAATTCCCGTTTTTTTTTGTAACTTCGCCTCATTTCATTCATCCTGGGTAACATATCCAGGGTTCCTGAATTCTTCGACTCAACCTCACTTTTTTATGGAATGAACTTCCTGATATACTTCTTCTGCATAAGGGTACTTGAAGAAAAACTTATCAGGTTTTTCACCAGAAAACTTGGCCTGCATGATCTTAGACCATTCTGATCCATTCACTTTTAGGTTTGATTTGTAAACGTCTTGAAATCATGGTGAGTTTTTCTCCAAATTGAAATCCAGGATATCACTATGGGACATTCTAGTCATAGTTATATTTCTATTTTATTCCTTTAGTCAATTGCTTGTACGATGACAGATTCCCACTGATCTGTGGTAAAGGTGTGCAGCCGTTTTGACTCTTTTTCGATAAGAGAATGTGCACAGTCATTCTCGTTTTGGCTATGCCCTGTAACAAAAAAACTTAACGTTATATCTGAAAATCCAAACCAATTAAGGGCAAGGGATAGCATGATGTTACCATGCGGTTGCAATTTTTGTCCTGCGCATCTGTCACAAAAAGGTACACACTCTTCACGCCCTTTTTTGTAAAACTTCAAGTAGAGCAACATGTGCAGACGCCACCTCATTTGAACCCTTTTTTGCTTTCTTCCTCATTCCACAAGTAACAATGAACTTCTTTAAAAGACGAGATGTCTGAAACTGTGAAGTTGTAGTTTCGCAGTCTCGTGCTTAGTAAAATGAGGAACTCTCTCCTGCAGGTGCCAGGAGTGTTTTTTGAAAGTCAAATGCTGGATGCTTGAATATGGCTATGTCTTGTTGCTTTTCTTTATTTGTGCTTTGAACACCCTGCTCAGTTATTTTCTGATCATGCTCTGCCTTTGATTTTATATTTCTGTAGTTCTCAATGAATCTTTTGTATTGTCCCATGCATCACATCGATCCTTTTTGGGTTGATGAAATTTTATATTAAAATTATCATGAAAAATGGATAGTAAGCTTCGGTATTTAAGGGATTCTCAATGTTATTTTCTGCACAGAATCGTATGTACATACGGTGCATAGTAGCCACATCTAATGTTGGAGGCAAATATTGATATTTAGACTCCTTTCGAACATAGTGACTTTGAACTGTTTAAACAACAAATATGTTCGATTACCTTTTCCCTTTTTTTGGATCAAATCTGTTATGGGGTACAGTTATACCACGCATATCATTTTCAACACTTCCAATAAATTCTTTTGATAATGCTGTTCTAACTTGTTTTCTTGAAACATCAAGAGTTGTGAGGAAAAATGTCTGACAATTGACAAACCTCAAACTGATCTCCACTTTCCTTCTGAAAAAATATTTGAAACTGAAAATATTTGAAACTGACATCTCTTTTTTTGCGTCTGACTTTAATATCTGGTCTCAATCTGCTTCTTTTAATTTTGCATTTTTCAATCATTTTCGTAATATAAATTCTTTTTGACAATATGTTATCTAATTTCCAATAATTTTCAAATAAAACTTCTCTGTCCTTGGCAGAAAATATTTCATTGCACTTTTTTTTACATGAACTAGAACATGTTTTCTTTATTTCTCTTTTAGGCATCAATCTAATTTCTTTATTTTTTGTTCTGTATTGGTAAGGACTGTCCATGCATTCGAGCTTCCTTCCCTAATATTTCTCTGCCACTTGGAGATATTTTTCTTTTCTTCTGTCAAAGGAGTAGGTGTTATCCAGTCTGTTGAACATTGTTCATTAACCCTGATTTTCTGTTTGATTACAAAGCTTTATTTATGTCACACAGATTTCCATGTGATGGCAGTATTTTCTTGTGTTTCTACAAGGTTAAAATATGGCCAATGGATCGCAGTTTGGAACACTTTAGTTATAAAAAACTTCCTTGTCATCCTCACAGTGAACACTTCTACACTTTGCTTTTGAATATGGGATATCTTTTCATAGCATAGAATTACTTCTTCACTTTCGACAACTGAAAATGTCAACCTGGGCTGTACTGTGGAATTTTGATTTATCACTGTCAGATTCATTGTTTTGAGCCGTTCCAATAACATGGCATAGACTGAGACTTTTCCTTCTCATAATTATAAGTTGGATCTTTATCTGAATCATCATTATAATGATTCAAAAGAATCATCTGATAAATTTCTTCCCGGTTCTTGAGATTTTGAGCTTCAAACAAGGATATCACAGTTTTAAAGCATTTTTGGAACTGAAGTTGTTTGATTGTCAATAAAAAATTTGACTCGAACAGTGTTGGAGTTAGACGCAAACTATCACTCCCTTTTAACAGCGTCTTATCTTATATAGGTAAACTATTACTGTATTCACGCTGTTCATTATCGAAATATGTAGCAGGGAGATAACTTTCTTTTCCTGTTTGCAGAATCTGACTCTCAGTGCCATCCCAACTTCGGTGTGCCACAGGGGAATTCAGATTCAGGACCTAAACATTGCTTTCAATGATAAATTGTATATAGCTTGGGAAAAATTAAACATACAATATTACTAAGTAGAACACAATTTAATACATACAAGATGACTAAATAGCACACAATTTAATATTTATAATCTTTAAAATATTATGGAGTTATATCTAACTTTCCAGGGTAAGCTACCTCTAGTCACCTGATTCCTGTAGCACGTGCTCATAAGTATAACTGCAATATGCTTTATCAGTTGTCTTCATCACAATGAATAATTTGTTTCAGCCAATCAGGACAACCATATTTATTTTTTCATGTTCTTTGGGACTACTTGATTCTAAACTTTGGCATAGAATGGGCCTATGTTCATTTTGACAGTAAATATGTGGGGCTGAAAGGGCTTAAGTCCATCATATTGGACATAGGCCTGTTCTCAACACCTCTAAAATTATAACATTCCTAAGCCCAGCTAAAATTTTATTATTGAGAAATTCAGGATTTCAAGACCACCATCTTGTAGAGCATGGCTCAAAACCCCAAAATATTGAACAATGAAGGTGGCCAGATTTTACAACAATGACTTCTTTGCCCGTATTTTCAGCAACGCTCGATGGCGTAATATTCATGGAGTCCATAACGGACATGCTGAATTTGAACTGACGATCAGCATTTTTTCTGACAATGTCTTCATTGGCGATGACATATCTCCGATACCCAAGAGACAGTTTGGATAAATCAACCAATCCAATCAGATCGTCTGCAAATTTTTTACGACTTCTGGAATCAAACTTAATCCAGTTGAATACAGCATTGAGCTTCACATCCTCTGAAACTTTAATTCTTCTGATTTTATCATGTTCACAACTTCCTTTTTAACAAGCAAACCAAAATCATCGACCTTTGAGATTTCTTCAAATTTATCAAAATGAATTGGTTGCATATTTCTTCAAGATTTGTCAGACTGAAAATTTTGGAAACTTTTCTGGTTTCAAATACTGATTCTGGACTCAGATTTGTTTCAAGAAGTTCCACGATTCCGCTACAAACTTCATCAAGTTGCAATAATGTGGCAACATGCAATAAATCACCAAGTTTTTCAAATGGAGCCGCAATTTCACAGCTGTACATGTAGTCAACACATTTTTTAACACAAAATGCATCAACTTCTTTCATTTCACATATTCCTGATTGATTTTCCTTCGTGTCATGCGCAAACATCTTATCAAAATAATCCGAGTTCGCAGACAAACATTCTTATGAGCCAGGATTCATCAGATCCAACCTTGAATAGAACATCACAACGATCTTTATCTTTCTCAATCTGTCGAGTCGCTGGAAAACCTTCCATATGCGATTGTTCTTATCACATTTAACCAAGCTCATTTTAGATTTGTCCACTACAAAGAGAAAAATAAAATATATTGACGGAATATAGTAAATGATACTGAATGCTATATACATATTATAGATATTACATAACTGTGAAGTTAGGTCTAGTCTGCTTTGGTATCATCTTAATCTCAGAAATATTTGAGCCTGAGTACCAACGGCATTTCACCAGTTACTAAACTGACTAGTAATGTTTCATTGTTGAAAAATAGGTACTCCCATAGTGTTGTACCAGGTTAGGGTTGGGCCATAATTTTACTCCAATTTTCCTTATTTTGGTTTATTACGAGTTTGGGTACTGTCTTTGTTATTCAAGTGAATGTACTGCCCATAGGTTTATGTCCCTTTACACAACTTAGATGTAAAATAGGTGAACAAAATTAGTTACATCCATATTGGTACACACACTTCTGGAGCACCGAATAATATACCGGTACCTCAAAATTTAAACATATAAAACAGTGCTGATTAAAACATTGCACATTGACAGACGGTATATAGAATTAAGACGAAACTAAAAGGAACATAGATTCGTAAAATAGGCGGCATTCGAACCATTAAAACACAGCAGCAAATGAAATCATAATTTTACCAACTATATTGCAGATAAATAATTACAATGAAACCTGAGCCCCTATAAATTTTTGAGGGTGTGATAACAGCAATATTATCTAACTTCGTAATAGATTCACTCAAGTGATTACCAGAGGTGGTTTTGAAAACCTCTAAAACAGTGATCAACTTATCAAAGTGAATACAGTAGAATAGATACGTGATTAGGATTGAAAATATTGCATAATATATAAATTAAGATAAATAAAAGTTTAATAGAAAGAATAATTTATAAATGTTTCATTCATATAATAAACTTTTCAAGGACAGTTAATTCATAATGAAAATACAACTATAATCGCCAGAGAACTTTGATCTCAATTTGAGCTCTGCAGTGTGTATAAAGCATACACCAGTCTATAAGAAAAAAATAATAATTAATATGTAATTAAAACTCTGATTACTTTACTTCACTATTTCATGGCTGTTATAAAGACCTATTGGAAAAGAAATGCCAATATTTTGTACAATGAATAAGGGCAAACCTTTACTACGGGAGTGCCAAATACAAGTAACTGGTGGTGGCGAGCTGCACCTTTATTTAACATAGCCTTTCTAGTAGTTGCACGCACAATAATTTGTTTCTTTTTGTTATTGATCTTATGACATTGTTGGGGTTCTTGCAGAAATGATGAATGAACACGCGTAAACTTCTGAAGAAAATTGCTATTCAAATTTATTGTCACTCCGATTTCAAACAAATTTAGTGAGAAATACGTTTTTATAACATTGTGTATTTTGCAACATGTTCTGGCTAACCAGTTTTGCAATATAACAGTGGCATTCAGGTGCTGGTATAGGCTTCGCAATGCAAAGGCCCAACGAAATTGTAATTTCTCGCATGTACCATTTTAACCTAACTAAAAACTCATTTCGCGGCACAAACATTTAAAATTGGCACTTCTTCTTGGGCCGCACAATTTTTCCTTGCAGACAGCATTTTGGCCCGCGAGTTCATGCTAAAGATGAGAAAGTTAGTTTTTCAATTTAATTTTCACTGAATCCTGGATCATGAATTTCATTCATCTGGTATCGCAATCAGCTCCCATTTATTCTTTGCAATGTTGTATTTTTCAAAACTACACGTTTGTGCCATCCTCCAACAGCATAAATAAAACCCTCAATTGCATGGGCATGAAACCAACATCTAGCAACAAGCATTGGATTTAGAGATTGCCAGTGATTACTTATTGGATCAAATCGCCAAACTGCTTTGATGAATTGGAAGCAATCTTCTTCAACAAGGCCACCAAGAATATAAATACTTTCATCAACTGTGACAACTGCAACCTTGGACATTTTCTCAGGCATATGACCGACTATTTTCCAAACATCCGCTTCAGCATCAAACTGATTGACTATATTTAGTAACTGTCCAGATGTGGAGCCCCAAAATAGCAAATCCTATTTGGAAAAACTGTCAATCCTGATCCATCCAACGGTTGTGACATATTGTTTAGTCTTGTCCATATGTTTGAATCGGGATCATACTTCTCAACAGCATCAATATCATTATATAAATATACATCAAACTCCCGATAACATAAATGTTGTTATTCAAAACAACAGCTGGTGGATACTGGCCATGATCTTCAAGCATATCAGCCATTT